GGTCAGGTGTGCGGACCTCTCCCTCTCGCCCATCTACCCCGCTGCCCGCGGCCTGGTGAGTGACTGCGCCTGGGGGACACGCTCCAAAGAATTCCAGACGGGGGAGGGGGGCAGGGGGGCCCTGCGGATGGCCGCCCTTCCTGGGGGGTGACTGGGAAACCACGAGCTTGCGTTTTATTTGGGAGTCGGATAACAGGGTCAAAAGTCTCATTTTTTTTTAAGAGAAATACCCCAGGAATAGAAAGAAAACAGTGAAATTGCTGTTTCACACTCAGCTCTTCCGTAATTTTTGGAAACAAAGTTCTTTTAAGTAAAAGCTGATGACACATCCTGTTCCATTTCTTTAACGCACGTATTTAGTCCTCGGGACACTGAGCAGCCCAGCCTGCAGGTGGGGAAGCAGAGCCGGGAGCTGAGGGACTGGCCCCGGGTCTCACAGCTCCTGGGCGTTGGGAGCTGGGATTCGACCCCACAGTCTGGTTCCAGAATCCACACCCTGACGCCGCTGCTCCCCGTCCTGGCCCTGATAATGCCAACCGCCTAAAAGACAGCTGGCACAGCTGGCGTTTCTTTTTTTTAAAAAAATATATATTTTTGTTGATTTCAGAGAAGAAGGTAAAGGGAGAGAGAGATAGAAACATCAATGATGAGAGAGAATCACTGATTGGCTGCCTCCTGTGCACCCCCCAATGGGGATCGAGCCCACAGCCCGGGCACATGCCCCCACTGGAATCAAACCCGGGATCCTTAGTCTGCAGGCTGACGCTCTGTCCACCAGGCAGGGCACCGCTAGCGTATCTTAAGCACTGCCACGCGCCAGGATGGTCCCAAGGGCTTAGCACCTTATTGAACCCTGACAACAGCCCATTGCTTAGCCGTACTCTATGGATGAGAAAACTGAGGCGCAGGAGCGGGGAGGAGACTTGGGCAGGGAATGGTTAGCGAGGCCCGAAGCTGGGCCTCAGGAAGGTCCCCATCATCGCCCCGCCCCCCAGGTGGACAGTGAGAAGGGCATCTCCTTCGCTTCCCCTCGGTTTGTTCGCGTCCGTGAAGACAAGACGCCGGAGCAGGCCACCACCAGTGCCCAGGTGAGGCCTCGAAGGGGTGTGCTTGCCTGG